GGTGTCACGAACTCCGACAAAACGCGAAACGAGGTACTTTTCTATGAAATCGACCCTCGGAGATCTCTCTCGTTTGAGCAGAAATTAGAGAAGTCGCGAGACCTTCGGTCCGAATTTTCTGTAAAAGAACCTAAAATATCTCTTGTACTCTTCTTTCACTTGCTGAAAAAAATTTGGAAAATTCTTCCCGAATGCTTGACGAAATATACAGCGACAGTTAAGACTTTTTATCTTTCCATAAACCGAAGCTAGATATATGCTATCGGCAAATTAATATTTTTACTTTTATTAACCGCTAAAATATAAAGATATATGCAGCGGAATCGGTTGTAACATTAAGTTTAAAAGTACCATTGGCTACTTTTTGTAACCCATTAAAGTTAAATTATCAGATACGTGAAAAATATTTTTTAATCTTGTTGAAGAATTTCATCGTAACCACCTTGCTCCATTTTCTCAACTTCCGCCGAAAATGTTAGTCCCGCATTTCCTACGATACGTCTACACTCCCACAGTGTGTGCCCAATGAAGGGCTTGACGCCATAATGCGGTGTCGTCGCTGTTGTATCGACAATATGTTCCGGATCCTTAATAACGACAGCGAAGCGGTATTAAGAGGCATTACAAAGCAGCGGACACTTGAATGCGCGTCGAGGGTTCGCACTCTTGAAAAGAGCATCTGAACACGAGGAACGCTGGTTGGTCCCCTCTCTTCACCCTAGGACGTTATTATGAACGCCCTTCTTTCTATCCCGCATTATCGTGTCTTCGTCCCACTCTTGTCACCTTTGGCGACACCTTTCTCTTCCTCTTCAGCTGAGACACCCCTATTTGCAACGCTACTCGACCACCAAATGGTTCGTACACGCGAATACACTTTTGATTCACTTATTCAATAATTGAGAAGATTCTATGTCTGTACCGGTAATACAGAAATGTAAATTTGCTCCATAAGCATCTCCCTACCTTGTTTTACTCGTTTTAAAAATTATGTTCATATTTTCAGTTTCACGTTTTACGATTATCAGTAATCATGCAAGGTCGAATTTACTCGGTATTAATTTCTAGTCGAAATATAATTGAACAAAGAGATTTAGCGCGGAACTTGTAAATATACATTAAAATTTATCGAGTCAATTTGTCGAGGAATGTAATATTTTATACTGCAAGCATTGAAATTTAATACTGTTTGCTGAATTGAAACACGTGGAATAAAAATGCAATGTTAATATGAGCGAATAAAGCTCCGAATTTACGTTTATGGCGGACAGAAAAAGGGGGGTGAGAAAAGTTTTGTAGGTTTCGCGTTACAGCATTGTCACCCTGGAGCACCCCAATAGGCAGCTATACATACATAGGTAGGTGGCGAATGTGCGCGCGAACCCCACGAAAATCCCCGTTTACGTGTCTGTGTCGTCATATTCTTTGTTAGAGGGTGGTTTTCAAATGATGAAATCGCTCCGACCTCGCAATCGAGATTTATTCAATTAGAGTTACCGCGTTTTTCTCCCTCAAGCCTTTTTGTACACGCCGCGCGTACAAAAGGAAACGTTTGATATAAAATGCCCATGTTAACCAGAATTTCACAACATTTACATACATGCATTATATTCAACTGTTATTTTTATTTGTTGTCAAAATTATTTCCTATTGTCTGAAAAGAAAATCTCAACAAAGGTCGCAGTGAAACACAAAGTTCTTGAATTTTTATCAAACTCACAATTCTACCAGAGATACTTTACATGTAATTATTTTGTATAATGTAAAATTTTACATCCTTTCTATTGAATTTTTGATCCTTTCTATTCTTCAATTTTGCTAAATATAGCGTAAGAGACGCTGAAATGTTCCAGAATGTTGCTTCGGCGAATTTTTCTAATTCGCGCGTGCAAGCGATGCCGATATTAGTCGGCTAATTCTTTCACGCTACACGCGTACGAAGATGACGTTTTCACGAAGACGAAGACGAAACGCTGCCTACGACGATTCTTCGAGCTGACCGTGCAGACACGTCAAGGCCGTGCTGCTTTTTATCGGCTTATCAAGACGTTGATTGCATCGAGTTGCTCGTCCATGCTGTGGGAACTAAGAAATCATCGCGTCATACATCCAGGAGATGTATTTATAGCATCTCCAGGAAGGATCTATTTAACGTTCGAGACTGATTATAGCACGACTGAGAGTGCAAGTTGCATCGACGTTTTCCCGTCGACCGGCAAGTCGTTTTGCGATTAAATAAAAGAAAAAAGACTATATTTTCAAACTGCTGTATAAATTTAATTGTTGCAAATTGAAAAAAAGGGAGAGAAAACGGAGAAAGACTGAGACAACTCTTGTTAAATATGTTTTTACAAACGTTACTCATTTTTTTATCGCAAAACGCAATAGCTCTATATGAGAGTTTTCAAAAAATACATGTATAAAGAGTATATCGCTGTTTTTATTATGTATAGACATTATCTAAGGAAATAACTTGTGCTTGTTTGTAAAAGGATTGAATTAATTTTACTTTGACGACTTTCGCAACAATATTTATGTATTAGTGCATTATACTTAAATTCATTGGTATCTCCAGAGTGTCACAGCATAAACAGATAATAGTGTAGACAAGGGAGCAAGAGTAAACGCAAAGTCATACATGTTACAGCTTTAAACTGTGTGACCAGAACTAAAATGGTATTTACTTAAGTATTGTGAAATATTTCCCTACATAACACTTGTACTTTACTGGAAGTTTCTTTGTAGAAGAACCACAGATCTGTCAACATACAAATCCGTCAATACCTAACAAAAGTGTTCTCTTCAGGTAGCTCCGGAAAAATCATGCATTCGAATAGATCTTTCGCGTCAACGAAAAAGGTCTTGCATGCTTAATATGTGTGCGAAGTGGTTTTTGACAAAAATAGGGAACTTATCTCTGCAAAATTGTTATCACAAGTCATATTTAAATATGATATACAACTCGTCATCGTAAAATGCTATCTCAGAGGAAGAGGTCAACGGAGGAAAGTTCTCTATTATGAGATAGCGGAGTTTCTGCTAAATTAATAGGCATCATCAGTTGGTTCCACCATAAATTTATTGCCCTCGGAGTGAAATCTGTTTAGTGGAAAATAGGTTGTTAGATCGTGTAATCGTTGCGAAAAAATGTGCGATTGAATTTGAACGTTGAAAACCTACTATCTCACAATAGAGGGCTTTTTCTCTGTACTAAATTAACTTAGACAATCACGTCTTTAATACAAAGTCATCAAATTAACGATTGCGCACAATAATTAACTGATTAATTCAAATGCTGGAGAATAATTGGGATAGTCGAAGCGGTTAAAGAAAAATTGAACGAATCGTCTATCCTTCGGTCTAAAGGACATTTCGAGCTAACGAGTTCGAAGGACGAAAGGCGGCGGTGGTGGTGGTTGCGATTCGCTGCAACCGCGGTCGTTTATTAACTCAACCCTCGGCGGTGAGATATCACGCGCGACATAACTTACGCTTGGACAGGGTTGCAAACTATACTACACACACATAGCGGGGATTGCCGTACGTAACGACGCTAAGGTTATGGTGTTACACGCGGATGGTGGAGCGGCACCGGTGTCCAGTGACTCCCATGTCGGCTTGTTATCCGGACCGCCCCGTCGTTATCTGCAATTACCCCAAAACAGCCCCTAGTTTATAAATTATAGGCCGTCCCCGTACCCCGCTGCCGCGCGCCGTGCCCTCCTCCCCTCGCTCCTCAGCTCTTCGCTTCGCCCTGCTCGCCCGTTCTCTGCCTCCTCGCGCGCGAACCATCTCTATCGAATCCAGCGGTACATCTGTCATCAAACGTGGTCAATTACGTACAATTATCCCGGTCACCGCCGCCGTGTTATCGTCCGATGCGCGAAGAATAAATTTCCGGCCAATTAAGCGAAACTGTGCCGCGGTAATTGCTAATTAGGCGCGCCTCCAGGCCAATTACAGGCGCGATGTAATCGCGAATATCGCCGCCAAATAAACTCCTTTCTTCCATTTTCCTCTCGACGGCCATGATTTATTGCTGCTATTATTTATGAATTGTATAAAAACTTTCTCCCCCGCTGCTCATCTCGCGATCGAGCTGCCCTCGAGTACTTTTCGCGGACTCGTTTAATTAGATACCAAATTGGCGGAATAATCGCGCGTCGCTATAATCCGCGCTACGAGGGGTAATCCTTGGCGACAAGAGCGGCGATTTCCCGCGGGCGCAAAAAGACCCGGGATGCTCTCGCAGGCGACAACACAATCGTCTTGTCGCGCGCCATTGTCGCGAGAGATTTCAATGGACATTGCAACAATGAGTCGCTGACGACGGTGCGTCGTGTTGCGCAAAGGGAACCGTACCGGGGCACCCCACGGCTAGCATAAGCCTGCTTGACTGTACTTTTCACGCCCTTTCCACGACGCGAGATTATTATATCTCCGACCCTCCGTGTACGCCAAATAGACATCTGCTTTCGAAAGGCGTAATGCCCGTGTATATCAAATAAAACGCGATTACGAGCTAAATATTTCGCTGATTTTTACGATATAATCATTTTCGTGGATGTTTGCAAAACTACTCAAAACGAGCAAGAAGATCGATCGTACGTTTATATCTCTGAAACAGTCATTCAAAAGATTCTTAAGAGTTGTAAGATTGACATTTTAGTAAGAAAAGTCGATACAAGAGAACGTGATAGTCACGATATAAAAAGAAAGAAGAACGCAGAGGCGTCCGCAATATTCCAAGACCGGAGCATGACTGAAACAGTAATTGTTTATTACCCTAAAAATAGCTTTTTCCAAACGACTAATTATTTTACTTCGTTAGCATCTCTAAAAGTACAATACGCAACGACTGCAACAGTAATATGTCATTTTTCTGAGACTACGTGATTCTCCAAATTCGGAAAATTTTGACATAAATCAATGATTATTTATTAAACCCGATTAAAAAAGGGTACCGTGTAACAGCACTCATTGTGGAGATATGACGTATGTTTGAGTGAACTTGTATAACAGCCTTTATTTTATCGATATGATACAATTTTAATAGACGTATGATACACTATGATACGTGAAACCCGAATTCTCGCAATCTTCGCGGATATGCATTATAATAATTGTTACAAGACTTAACGCTGCGGCTATAGGTCAAGCGATATGATTCATAATTTGACGCCATTCCACCGTGAAAACGACGCGACTCAGCGGTCTAAGTCACTGCGCGTTGCCCTCACGTGCGCATCTCTTATATTGTTTTACAAAATAAAGGACTGCGCAAAATCGGTAGGAGATCCACCGAATGTCCCGCTCATTAATTTGTCGTTTCGCTTCGAGACATAACCCGCTAAATCGCGCCGCTTACTTTCTTAATCGCTGCTATCCGTTAATATCTATGGTATAAGATTGACTTTAGCACAAAAATACATTTTTATAACTACAGCTAGACCCTCCTTGTGTTAGTATCACGATACCGCGAGCACGCACGATAGTCATTCCAGCTTTCTGGTTTTCGGTTCAGACTAGCTTGAAATTATAACGAGATATGTAATAAGTGTGATAAATTGAATTACATAGTACTTTTTACACAACAGACAATACGTTTGCTTCAAAGCAAATATAATCCAGTCTAGATTTATTATAATATACATTTCTTTTAAATCAAGGAATACATATTAATCACATTTAATGTAAAATAAGTAAAGTCAGGAAATTAATTAAAGATCATCCCAGCAAGAAATGACTTGTCGGTTGACGTCGAAACGATGTCGAATCGACGAGTCATTTCTGGGCTCTATCGATGGTGCAAAGCTCTTATTTGAGATCTGGTAAATCGCCACGATACTCGCACAACGCTGCCCGCCACATTCACAAATCGACGATTGACAAATCTTGGAAATACGACATACGATATCCGTAATATATTTACATACGAAATAACTTTAATATGCACTTGGAAGACAGAGGTTTATATATTATTCATATATCGATAACGTAGGTTTTTCTTCATTTATGTATATACTATATATATTTATATACCTGTACGACATATATGTACGCGCGTAATATATGTATAATTCTTAATGCATGCACGCGCGGACGCATACGTTTTACATTTAGATATGCTAACTTGCTAATATTTATATTATTCATCGCGTGCCGTCGCCAGCGATCAGCTATTCTCAACGTATAAATAAATTGTCCTTTATCATCATAAACATCGCACCCATCGTATCTCATATATATGATTAAAGCTCGCAATATCATAACTACTCAACACCGCAATTTGAATAAATATAAAATTGCAGTAACTTTGAATTTTATACGCCAGGATATCGTCAAGATCAATTCTTCGTAGGTTCCTAATAAGTGTACGTTTACGAAAGTTTACAGATCCGGATTCTTGGAAAAAATCCAGCATAAAGTATAGAATACAGGAAGAGCAAAAGTTCCTGTGATAAGAGATCGATAGAAGTTTGTGTAAGAATCAAAATTTTAATTATCTTTCTGTTTAAAAATTAAACATTTCATTCATAATACATAGCCGTGGTATCAGCACTCATACATTTGATTTATAGATATGTGTTTGTGATTTATTATTGATGCGCGTACGCATCGACAAAAATTAAAATATTTTTACGGTGTCTTTATAATACCACTCCCTTATTACAAATTATTACTCTCTCAGTAAATGTATTATTACACTTCTTAAATTGACATATTCATATAAATATTCCGAAGAAGATTTGACAAACATACAGAATGTCTATGTATAAGTACATATGTGTGTGCGCGCGTGTGTATACACACGCACATATATATGTACACAATTTCTTACTTTGTATAATAATATATCAAGTCAAGCAAATAATGTTTAAGATCAAATTGCAAACTAGTTGAAATCATCAATCCATTTAAGACGTAAACAGCAACAAAGAAAATGACGAACTAATTAAATTTTCTATTTACAGCTAAATATCTTATTGTTAGAATTTTTTTAAACTTGCAAACCCCGGTAACTTACGAGACTACGTTATAGAGAGTAAAGCATAATTAAATAGAGTACGACTGGTGTACAAAATGGGAACGAAACTGTAAATTATGGATTGCTATGTACAAGATAATTAAGGCGTCACATCGAAATGTATTAACATTTTTAATACACTCTTATGAATTGTAATCTAGGTATACCCGTCTAACATCGTTAGCTGCCGAGAAGGACCTTTTCACGTCTCCGAGATGTTAAAGTCTCATTTCGATTTCTTCATATGAATTAACTAAAGTTATCGTTATATGTATTATATTTATTATTACTATATGTATATAGTGATTACTACTATATACCTATAATAATATTCACGAAGATAAAGATACATTATATTATAAGAATTATGCCGAGAGAAACGATTCAATTGTCTTAAATGTATGCTGCAAGTATTTCGCGGGAGATTAAAGTATATGTTTTTTTGTGTATTTTCTAGCAAATCATGCGAAATTTAAAGACTTGTAGTCAACAAAAAAACTATCGTAATGAAAAATTGTACGCGATTAACAAGATTTCAAAGTACTTTTCTCCAATGCTCATACAAATATGACAATGCGTAGACCAAAATCTACGAATTGGAAAGCCTATCGATACAACCATCCGAGTTTGCGAATGCGAATGTCATTTTTCTTTAAATCTTAAGCGAATATGTTGACATTCGATGCGATTGACAAATATGTCGCGCATATACTAGCAATGAAATTGCATTACATCATTTGTCGACACTTTTATAATAAATACTTACCGCATAAATCGATGATATCTAATTCCGTGTGTATATAATTATGTATTAATGCTCGATTGACTGTTTTAATTATAAAATTGATAAACGTCACGATATAAACATCAAGATCTTTTCCTGGTTTTGAAGACAAATGATCTATAAGAAAATATGAAACAAATATTTCTTTTAAAACAATGGAATCAAATAGCGATAACATTTTCAAAAACGGTAGAATAAATCATATAATATTAATTAATAAAAATCAATTTTACTTTTATGACACGTTCAGATTCTAATTTTCTTTAAGTAATAAAAATCTATTTTAAAATATATCTTTTAACGTTTCTGATGGGATAATCTGGATATGTATTCAGATATGTCTATCTAAAAAATTTCTATGCGCGATATCTTGTCTCACGGAGCCCGCTCTAAGCCGGATTTTAATTTGACTGTTAATCGACTCATTCGGTATCTTCGAAGATCATCGCGGATCCCTTCCATGATAATTACAAGATATGTCAATATGTGTGTCGTATATTCATGTCTATTAAAAGAGAAATATCCGAAAGGAAAAATTTCAGAGAAAACACACCTTTTTCTTTTCCAGAAACGACTAGCGTATAATGTCGAAAAAAATTGTGTCGCTCACTCATGAGCGATGTTAATTTTTGGCGAAATCTGCTTCTTTGGCATCGACATGACAGTGGGATCCCCGGGGGTTTGTTTATTCCATCGTGTCGTATTGAACTTTCTTCACTTTGAAGTATCGATAGGCCGCATAACCGGTGATCGTTAAGAGAACTGCAGCGGCCAAGGTAGAGCCAACTGCAACTGGCGCAGTCTCATCTCTGTTGGCCCGCGCACTTAATGAGGTGCATGAAAATTCAACAGCAAACTCGTTGTTCTTGAACTTAAACGGTTGCAGCTTCATGTCTCTGAAATTTTTCATGATAATGTGTGACAAATTCTCACTTCACGCAATAACAAGAATAAAAAACCCAATATATATAATATCATATTACGTAACTATATATTATTAACTTGTAACGAAATTCCACATTTAACACGAAATATGACCGTTCGATTTGAAATAGTTATGATAGGAGGATCACTTTCTATATTGGTTTGATTTTCATATAAATGCGCGTTTAGTTTCAAGTATCAAATAAAATAAAATTTACTTTAGCTATAAATTGCAATTTCTGCATTATATGTCCGATTTACTGTTTATAATTTAAAACGCAACTTTGGTTGTTAAAATTAAATCGATAATATATTGAAATACCTCAAAAGTACGGTGGCATGATTTTTGCCGTCGGTGAGCGCTATTTCTGTTTCTTCGGCACAAGCGTACGATTTTCCGACCGGTGTGGGAAATAGCATGGAGCTATGTTTCTGGCCGGTACTCAGTCGAATAGTCTTGTCTAAAAAATATTTATAAATTAATTAATTTAAAATTTATAATTAAACACATTATTCAAGTTCCCTCGAAAATGTATATCAAGTATATCTTATAGTTTTTCAATAAAGTATAACTCTAATAGCTTAATATATTTTTATGACAAAGAACCTCGCGCATTTTATAATGGAAAATGGCTTTCAGTTAGATTTCGCTGAAATTAAAATATGTTATTACCAACATCTTCCTAATAAAAAGTGTCAATGGGCACAACCTCCTAAACGCAATAGTTTAGGAGCCACAAATCCTCAATATTAGGATTTGGAGGTGAAGCTAACATACTGCTTAGGAGTTTATTTTTGTCCAAGTAAATGCGTATATATGATGATAGAAAATGTATAAGTATAATTCGGCGTCGATGTATATATAGGGCGAGGGAAAAAGGCTTGATTATATCGTCGAATAGAAGTTAAGGGAGAATGTTGTTTCGCTTCGCGTTGCACTAAACCAAACATCAAGGACTATACCCTATAATCAAATCTTTTTCCCTCACCCTATATATACACCGACGCCGAATTATACTTATACATTCATATGCGTTTACTTGGACAAAAATAAACTCCTAAGCAGTATGTTAGCTTCACCCCCAAATCCTAATAAATTGAGGCTTTGAAGCTTTTGTAGCTTCTAAACTATTGCTTTTAGGAGATTGTGCCCGTTGATACTTTTTATCAGGAAGGTGTGGGCAATAACATATTTTCATTTCAGCGAAATCTAACTGAAAGCCACTTTCTATATAAAATGCGCGGGGTCCTTTACATAAAAATATAGCTGTAAAAAAGAAGTCACACACGCGTGATTTGATACGATTGACATTGAATGAGATTGACACTGATTGCGCTTACTTGGCTGAGCAATATGTTCAAAGTGTTTGTCACTGGAGTTATAGGTCAGTTCGATTTTCTCGACGTACCAGCGTTCACCACCTGGTGTCTGGAAAGTAAAGTCAGGTGTCTCGTTAAGGAGGAAATCTTACAAGGTCTATCATTCTTTTACACAAAAATTAAGATTACTAGGATTGTGTTGAAAAATCACATGACATAATCCTAAATACAACTTTGCTTTATAAATAATATCTCATCACTCGCTGCCTGTGTTTTCTTTTCTAGATCTGTGCCACTTCTAGTAAATTTGTAGTATTTTTATTCCACATGTGACAGTTACTCGAATTGAGACATATATTCAAGACGGAATTTCATGATAGCTTTTAGCACGCAATCACCGATATGAAGGTGAAAATCAAACGAACGGTATCTCGGTAAAAGGGTCACGTATCGATTTTCACAAAAAGCAGCACCGTGCCTGGCAATTAAAATGATTCATCCTTCGTATAATTATCCCTAGAACCGAGCAATTTATCTTTCGACGCAGCTGTGGGAAGATCGAGACACTACGTATAAAAGATTACCTTAGCGAAGCTCCAAGATAATACGAAGGCTTCCCATTTCAATGACATTGTCACTGTGTTTTCATTATCGCAATTTCCGGTCACAATTGCATCGTTAGGTACGTAGATATCCGCTTCCTAAAAATATAAATATCAATTATATAATTATCCATCGTTGTACCGCGCGCAATGATCAAGGATTTTCTTCTTTGGAATTTAATGAATTCTTACTTGATCCTCGCCGAGTTTTGTACGATATTTGATAGTGATAAGCGCATCTACTTGAAGAAGAATGCAAGCTTGTCCGTTGCTTCCATCCAGCCGATATAAGGGTTCTTCCGTGGAAAACGGTTTGTGCGTAGTCGACGTGGTTGAGGGCACGGTCGTAGTTGTTTTGAGTTCAGAATTCAATCCTACCGGCTTCAAATGAATAACGCAATGTAAGATAATTAAGAAGGGGCGTAATATTCGCTTGTGAAACGAAACAATAAAATTGTAAACAACTAAATTTTAAGTCCTTTTAAGATATAAATCAATTAGAAAGGTAAAAGCCATTTAGGTAATAAAATTATTAACGGAAAATTATTAACGGAAATTGTTCAATAGAATTTTTATCATCTACAAGAATGGTTCTCTCTCGCTCTCTTTCTCTCAATAAGCCTTACATTTATAGTTTGATATTATATCGTAGAAAGATAACTTCCGCTTAGAAGCTTGTGACCTTCTATGGAAGGTCGTCTGTTATTGTAACATAAATGTAACGAGTTTTGCAATAACAATTTTTTGTTGCAATAACAACTCCATGTAACGAATCATTAACAGAGAAATGGGTAAGCCAACGTTACAGCGTATAAATTTGCAATCACAAAGCATAAGAACGAACATAAGCCGATAGCGGGTGGCAATAGTAAAAGTTTCCACGAGAACGCCGCAAAGTCTTTGCACGGTGACGTCACATAATACCATCGAAATGTCAAGGAGTGCGGTAAAAGCAGCTATCGGATGTTATAAAAGCTTAACGCCAAAGAGGTCAACAAATCCATTGTAAATATATTGAGTTTGAGCGCAGCCGTGTGGAAACTCAGAAAAACACAGAATTTAACCAAGTTAGAAAATTTCTTAAGTTTGAACTTTTCAAACGGAATTCGCAAAGCTTAATAACTTTTCATCTTCCTGAGATTTAATTCCCAAGCTTCCAACTGTAACATTTAATTTCTGATTCGCGTAATTACTTAAATCCTGCTAAATTAAAGTAGATGTATTATTTCTTTATTTAAATTGGAATATTCTATAGTCCCGTTAATAAACGACAATAACATTTTTCACGATGGTGAAAGATTCATTATTTAAGAGTACAGAACGCCATAGAACTTTATACAATAATTTCACGATTCGATCTGACATCGTAACACTTTGTACAAGGAATTAATAGTCTAAATAAACGAGTTGTCGATATATTAAAAATGTTATGAGTAGTTTAACTTATCGAAACATATTAACAAATCTGTAATCTTCTAATGTTATGGTGCAATGTCTGCAAAATATTTTTATGCATTCTTTGGTCAATTTAAAGAGCTGATTCTTTTTCAACAAAAATTTATTTTATCGAGGGAAAACAAGTTTTTAATTCCAATAATAATAGGTGTAAATTGGTATATATGCTTCTTAAAAAATGAGCATTTGTTTACACGTATCTTAACCGTCGCATTGCGAAATGTCACGTTAATAAACTCTTGGTTTAGAGGTCGTAACGACGCTAGTGGCATTTACAGCCAAGATATGTACACCTCTATCATGCGACAGTGTTGAAATGTAAATTTCACGGCGCGTCCATCATTCAACGAAATATTTGCAAGTAGCAACAGGCGTTCAGCGGAAGTGATAAACAGAATGAAGGATCACGCTAGATCGAAACGATTTCATTTCCTTCTTAACACTTTATGATCGCAGCGAATCTAGACAATCTGACGGCGACGACTTGTAAAGATTACAAAAAGTTGTAAATATCACGTCTCTAAAGGTATATTTTAAAAAGACTTTGTTTTGAAAAAGATTAGCTATGACGTTATTACGTATAAAAATAACCATTTTTTAAAGAAGATAAAAAAGGCGCCAAGTATAAACGCCATTCAATCAAGAATTACATAATTTCATTATCTCGATACATTTTGTTAGAGAAAGAAACATTTTTACACTATGACGTTGTTGCATATAGAAAATTAGCTTCCTCTTATTTCACTTTTAATTTTACCGTTCGCAACCTTTTTGCATGCGTAAGTTACAATTTGCGTCACGTGGACATTAAAATATAAGAGTGGATTAAGGGGTAGCGGAAAAATGAAGTCAAGGTCTGGCCGAGAGCTGTATGAAGGTTTTGATAAGATTGCCTTACGTACAGCACAGTGCTCCTTTATGAATTTCACGCATTATCATACGTTACAGCGATGGCGTAAAACCGCCATTGTAACCGCCCGGCGTAAGCCTTGAAAAAGCACAGGTCTTTATTGCGGCGGGGATTTTCAAACTTGTTCGAAAACCGGAACGCGCATAATTGCACCGTATCATGTAATCGAACAATAGTGCCCGTGGTTGCCTTTCTTAGGGGGTGGGAGGAGGGGGCGTTAATTATCGGATTTGAGCCTTAGGTTAAATAAGCGCCCGTAATAAGCGGTAATACGATTACGCGCAGATTTAGTAATGCAGCTTGCGTACGTAGGAGCGGTCGCCGCCCACTACCGTAAGGACATTAGCATGTAGATGCCGTGTATATGCATGGATATACACGGTCCACAACGTGCTTTTTTTTACCCTTTGGCTGTATTAGCGCGTTCCACGAATCCATTTAAATGATTACTCCTGCACGCGTATAGGCATATAAATCGCTGTAACTCTAAAAGTGCGTATCGGTCACTGAAAAATGTACCGCATACATTCGCTTGAATTGTAAAAATTGTGTGAGAGAGAGAGAGAAAATACTAAAATTAATAAAGGATTAAGGTATCGAATAAAATTGGTTTACCAAGGGTAATCTCGTCTTCGGAGTCGGGTATTCCAGGTAGACTTTGGACATTCTACGTGTGGTATAACGTTGCTCTTCCACTTGTCGCGGCATCGGCGAAGGGACGGGGATACTAAACGCTATGCCCGTGACACACCCTGCCGAAAATTATTTTAGTAAAATAGTAACGCCGCGCTAACACTGCGCGGGCGGTAGTCTTGCCAGTTTTAAAGGCAAACTGGTAACATTCGCAAAAAGCCCGCCGTCAAAAGTCCATTGTCTAATTTATTTGTACAATGCCTCCTGTTTATTCTTAGCCGAGCGTGTATAACTTTCACCCCTTGTTTGAAAGACAGTTTCCCCCCGTTGCTCCTAAATTATACGGAAAATAGGGTTAAGGAGAAACCCGGGTGAATATTAAACGCGCGCAGAATTCGTTAAGTATTAAGCCTTAAGGAAATACAAGAAAGAACCACTCGCATCGTTTATCTAAAAGTTTTACATCACTCGTGAGATTTTATTAGAGTGACATTTATTACGTCAGAGCCGTCGTTTGCCTTCGTCCCAACGACATTCATCTATTCAAAGCAATTACTGGATTGACTTGCGAGGAAAATAATAATCGCAAAGCTTATTCTATAAATTTCTCATTAAAGCTAAATCTATACGCACATATTAAAAGTATTACGATTATTCTTTTTCGCGACCGATGGCGTGGAACACAGTTTCGACGAGCTTCTTCACACATCGTTATTGACGTTTGGCACTTTGAGCCTTTGACAAACCATGTGCATCGAGAAATAATCCCTCGTTATTCCCTATCTTAATCTACTTTTCTCTTCGCATACTCGAAAACGTCAAGTAATCGTGACGAGATTCGCAATAGTCGTAGCACTTTTTTCCATTCGAGTAACAACCTTTCGCCGACGCATCTAACGTAAGAAATTAAATGGCGCGACACGGTTAGTCATACTTGACGCAACCCCCGTCATCACGTAGAGGCACGACTCCGCTTCTCGCGATAAGAACGGAAACGCACTCCTTTCCCTCGCTGGAAAGGGAAGCTCTTTCTCTGGTTCTTTGAGAGAAAAACTCACACAGTAGGAAAATCGCCCTGCAGTGTTCGCCCCGACGTGCCATAACGCTGCCGCTGGTGATTCTACCTGCTGGTGCACTCCTGAACGGCCGGGCAAACTAGACGGAAGGACGAGGAAGGATATGTTGTTACGCGGAAATGTATATAAAATCGCGGCCGATACGTGTGCCAGGACGGTTGCTCGGTGGCGACGTGCGCGAGGCTTGTGAGGAGAAGCGAGAGCAAGCTGGGGACTGTGGACGGATCGATAGCGGGGCGGTTTTCAGCATGCGCTACTACGCGGCTGCCGTTCCGCACAACCCGGTGGAAAAAGCACTACTCCGGCCACCGGTACCACCACCGCCGCCGCCGCCGCTTCCCCGCCGATGACGTCGTCGTCGGCATCAGCGTCAGCGTCGGCGTCGCCCGTCTCCTTGCCCGAGACCGTTCATTCACATTAGACATCGTACATTGAGTCTACGCGCCGGGACTTTGCGCCACGATTTCGCGCGAACGACATCAATGTATAACAAACATTATATGACCTAAACTATTCTTAGGTAATAATAGGAAAGTAAATGGTTATCAAGAATATCGATGACGACGACTTCGCTTCGGTGAAACATCTGGACTCCCTTCATAGAGTCAACCTTTGGTTGGCAGCCGTCGAGGGTGAAAAACCGTCGAGATAAAAGAAACTCGAATTTTGGCTGGTGACGATGATGACCCTAGTAGCACAGTGCACTTTCTTAAGATTGGCTAAATACAAGCAAATAATGGGCCAATGCGATTACCCAAAATTTGGTCAATACGCTGCTACTAAGGGAAATCCTTCATATGTCGCTTTCTCGCCTTGTATTCAAGAAGATTACTTTACAGCTTCTCCGCTTGCCAGTAGAAATTTAAGTCTTTATTGTAATTCTTCCTCCTCTTCTCTCACACATCGACAAGAAAGTTTGCTTCGAAAGGTAAATCGAGAATGTCTGCTCGAGTCCAGTAAATTTCATATTTGCGTACGCTCGTTGTTGATAAAAGAGAAGATTAAGGAAGTTAACCGGGAAAATTTCAAGGCGTTTTCGACGAAAAGAACGGCAAGTACTTTTAGCTTTCCATTCTTTTTTTATTCCCATAAGTCCCCGCCTGCCGACAAGGAGGATGTAATCTCGCGTAGGGGACTGCTTCACGATATATTTCAAAACTTTTCTAATCATAAACACACCGAGTATCATACAATACTCGCGTGCAAGCTCCGGCACATTTTTATTCTCGCTACGGGGTTCGGGTGAGGACGTGACGCGGCCGCGAGCGGACGTGGTGGTGTAACTTGTGCCTACGTCTTACTACGGGCGAATACAACACATGCGGCCTCGCAGAGGTCAGATTTCGGTGACCTGGCGTGGGCGGCTCGTTATCCGAAAGCTCGAAATACCGTCGAACCGTCAATCTCTCCCCGAACCAAATGAACGCGTGACTCTTGAAAATATTCTCAGGGTTTCATTACTTGTGATTTACAAACTTTACGCTCAGCGTAATAACGGTGCAATGAATTGTACCTGTAATTTATGAGTGTACCCTTACAGAAATGCGTAAGCAAAATAATTACTAGAAATTACTGTACATCAGTGATTTCTGATAATTCAATTACTGAGCTCTGGTAATTGTTCAGTGCTTTTTTCGTTCCCAGTTGTTACATTTCTGTAGGAGTATTTCAGGTATTTCAACGTACTACTTAATTGCGCGACAGATTCTTATTTTTCGCTTGTAATATTTCGTTTGCGCCAACTACAGGTCTCACTCGCAAAACAGTATATTCTAAAGCAAAAGTATACATATTTTAGAGTGAAATGTAAAACGTTAAAACGTAACAAAATCTTTAAGTGACGTTTATGAAAAATAATTCGCGGGTGCAATAGTTTTACGACTACGACTACTAAAAAATATTGAATAAATATTTTCAATGATCTGAGGAAAAAATACGCGAAATACGTAAATATATTTAAGCCACCTTTCTACACGCAGTTGTAAACTTAATCTTAAAGTAGGATAAATTTCCACAAAAACCTTTGGCCTATATTTCGTCGAAAATTTATCTCGGGATTTATCTTGGGATTTTGCTGAAGCAAGTGCAACCGATTCAGTATATGAAGTACAGAACTATGGCGTTTACGTGACTGCTAAGAGAGCATTTCGATAGATGTGCCGAAACTAACAGAGTGGGTGAACGTCTCTCTGTGCTAGAGGCACATTTTCGTATAAACGCCCACGGGATGCGTACGCCCACGCGGGTTTCTACTCATTCCAACTTGATTCGCAGTCGCAGAAATAAAAGTGTGGTAATTATGCATAAAAGCGACTTCCTCTCCGATTTGCTTTATTTTTAAATATGTTGTTGGGGATGTCTTCCCGAGTCATTTCATATATATATATATATAAGGGCCGGACTCAAATAGCTTCGGAGATACAGGCTGAGAAAGGATACAAATAATAATGTATACATATGTATGGTAATTCTTCAGTATAGCTGCTCCACCTCCAAAATCAATCAAATTGGTCTCATTCGACGCGTTTTTCAACGAGAAACAACTTTTTCCTCAGACAAAATCGTTGCTCTGCCCTGCGAAGCGAGATATTAATTGTTAAAGTTTTAGAGTTAGGAAATCTGTCATACCGACGAAATGTAGTGACACAACATGTGGAGTGGATCTCGCTTCACGTGGAAAGTTGCAAACCCATGTGGAACAGTACAACGGCAGAAGTACATGCGTGGAGACAGTATCCCAGGTAGAACACAAAATTATAATAATATCATAATGACATCAAGTAGAACTCATTTTTTGATTTAGGAAAAATCATGATGATGTCATTCGATACACTTTTTAGGAGCATTTTGTGAACAGAAAAGTCATAATGATATCATTAGGATGTCATCATGACATTTGTCTCTTAAAAGTTACTAATAAACAATATTTTACTTCAACAACATGTATATTAAAACGATATAAATATTTTAAAAACCAAAGGACGCTTTTATCTATGTATAATATAGTGTACGATTCCTTTTTCATTTTTACATCATTTTTTATTAGTGACTTTTAAGTGACAAATAATGTCATGATGACATCCTAATGATATCATTATGACTTTTCTGTTCCTGGGATGTTCCGCATGACAGATTTTCTAACACTAAAAGTTGTCAACTTTAACAATTAATATCTCGCTTCGCAGGGCAGTGCGACGATTTTGTCTGAGGAAAAAGTTGTTCCTCGTTGAAAAACGCGTCGAATGAGACCAATTTGATTGATTTTGGAGGTGGAGCAGCTATACTGAAGAATTACCATTGTATTTATTATTTGTATCCTTTCTCAGCCTGTATCTCCGAAACTATTTGAGTCCGGCCCTTATATATCATATATATATGAAATGACTCGGGAAGACATCCCCAACAACATCTTTAAAAATAAAACAAATCGGAGAGGAAGTCGCTTTTATGCATAATTACCAAAAGTGTTTCGTATCGTTTTCGTCTACCGTGATATCGATGAATAATTCGATATGGCGTAATTTTACATGATGTAACATTATAGTGGTCTGCATTTCTGGCGAATGTTGTTAGTAAATCAAGGCCACACTTGATAATGGATTCACTACGACTAGCATCGATTTGTTTATCACGAACAGCCGTTGACCGTGTCTGTTTCGCGACTATTTTTTTCACTCTGTCGACTTTCTTCGATATTGGAAACGAGCGAAATTTTGACATAAATCATTGTAATTTTATTATTGTGCCATTTTTCTCACTTGTCTTAGGCACATTCTTTAATATACTAATTGTGCATGCAGAAGCCAATACTCTTGTTAGTTTCAATTTTTTTCTATGCTTTCGCGTTGAAGAAGAGGAGCTCTGGAAAATTATGACGCTTACGACAGGTTTTTGTATCGATTTCGCAATTACAGCAGACGTTACCATCAAGTAATTACCGTGAATTGTCAGTGTCTCTTCTAGATGACACTACTCGTGCAAAGTGCGGCACGATGTGCGCTGAAGCCGCTAGATGGCGGCAGCGGTTCCGTCATGCGCGGTATGTACAATCATTGAAATAATTTACTTTCCAAATAATATGTATAAGAAACGGATTAATTCGCAGACGTAATATTGGTGTATTTGTAAATCACAAACCATTTCTTATCGATTATGATTATCAAAGTCTGTTTTATTTAACAAAGTGTCGGCTGACTAAAATAAAATTATAAATTACAAAGAAACATATTGCTTTTGTCACAAACGTTGAAAACAGACTGAAACTCAATCACAAATAATTTACAAGCAAAATATATTCAATTATCAATTTTACTAATTTCTGTCAGCCAAGTTCATGGATGCACAGTGAACGCTTTGCGCTGATTGGATTATAGTTTCAAGTATTTGATAAAACTATTCCTCTAGATTCCCCCTATCACACTGCATTCTGATTGGCTCTCACCAGCCAGCAGATGCGTGTGCATTTAAGCAATCCAACAGGCAAGAAGCATTGTGTGTCGCTGGCTTTAAATGGGTCAGTTTTTTTGTGCGACGGTAAAGCAGCGAATACAGTAGTGTAGGAGAAATGGGCGCGATAGTCTTGGCAAAAGATTAGCAGTTCCAGAAAACACCAAAGTAACAGTTACATAACATCAATGTAAATGTAATATAACACACATGTTATATTCTCTAGTAGCACAGTACATTGGCAAAATATTAGTTAAATATTAGTCCAATATTGGTGGTCATGGAATAAATGCAAGTATTGCACGATAATAATTTAATGTTAGATTTATATTGGAAGTGTATAGGCCAATATTTAACAATGTAATAACAATATTGGTCTAATATTAATACAATATATATCAGACCAATGTTGCTAAATAGAAGTATTGGCTAAATAAGAGAAGACGTCCATCATGCATGTTTCATTTTCGACATCAAATGTTAGCAAACAACACAATAGACGACATAGATGCATAGCAAGATGCTAACATTTTTGTTAGCAATATGAAAGCAACTTGTGCTTGCACTGGCTATATCTGAGTACTCCGATATGATTAGATTAAAAAATTTTTCCCAGGTGTCTAGAAAATAAAATAATTTGAGCGGCATGCACTAAGATCTTATGAAACAGATTTAATGGAACGCTAGACAATTGAATAATACACAGAAATGTCTACAAGTTCAGAAATTTGTGATCAATAACTCATATTTTTATCACCAAAACGGACACTTTACTGAGGCCGCATTTGGCGCGCATGCGCGAAAAACCGGCCCGTCTACATTTACGATACCGGCTAGAATCGCTCGTCATCGCGAATATCGCCATCGCGAGCGAGAGCGGAGACCAGGAGGGTTGTTTTTGCAGCGATTCGAGAGCCTCTCTCGATATACGCGGCGAGATTGATTTGCGACAACACAAGGCCGTTCGTGAGAACGCGACGTTGATGATTAACAGCACATCTCGGGGGTGATTCTCGCGCTGTGGAATATGTTGGCTCTGAAAGTAAGGCGGAAGAGTGTATCCGGCACCGCGTGACTTGTGCGAGTTGCGAGAACACGCTGCTTTTGGTTTCTAGGCGACCGTTGTTAGTTGCTCTTTCAGGCGCGCTCGTATCCTTCAGAATTCCCTCTCGAGAGGCAGTTCGGCCACTTCCGTCGAATCCAAGGGAAAGATGTCGTTCGAAGACGAGAAACGTAAGGAACCGCTTCCACCCAGAGGGCCAGTATGCTCGAGCAATGTATGGAGATGAAATGCCAGCAACTGATCCTAGCTCTTCGCTAGGAATATGATTTCAATCCCAGCAAACATAGAACAGCAGCAATGATCTGTGTTTGCTGGGATGTTTGAGTGATTTAAGTACATAATGTTAACATATTGTACGTAACGTATCGTAGTTGAGTGCACAGCTAAAGAGAGAACGCATCAAATGGGCGTACATTGTTTTCAATTTTCTAACAGCTATAAACATGTTATATCTATTACATCCGGCCAAGCACTTGATGCTAATGTTTGGATCATGCAAATATTTCATTTCCAACACCAAATGCAAACAGCACAAAAGACTACATAGATGCATAGCAAGGTGCTGACATTTTTGTTAGCAATATGAAAGCAACTTGTGTTCACACTGGCTCTCTGGGCAGTGACAGATCAATTGAATAGAGAACTATTACAAGACTGCACAGTATCCTGACAAATCTTTTCATTTTCTGTAAATAGAAAAATTCTTGAACATGCCGCCAGAGGAGAAGAGGAGCTTTTATAAGGGACAGGTAACGACTCTCGATCAGATTTCCACATGGTCAGAGTACTGGGATAAAAACAAGTCCACTATCGCCCAAACTGTTGAAAAAGTTGAAAAAATCGACGAGGCTCTAACCGAGAAGGTATCGATGTGGCAAGGAGACATCACGTCGCTTGAGATAGACGCGATTGTCAATGCTGCCAATTCGAGTCTTTTGGGAGGCGGTGGAGGTACAAGATATTCCCATTAGAAAGTACTTTTATGTACTTGAGAGATAAAGAAAATATTTCTATATAACTTAATAATAAACATTTCAGTCGACGGAGCTATTCATCGAGCGGCAGGACCAAATTTGAGGAAGGAATGCGCGACGTTGGGAGGATGCAGAGTTGGCGAAGCTAAAATCACCGGGGGTTATATGCTGCCAGCTAAATGTAAATGAGGCATAATTGCGAGAGCTCAACTTTGCGCAGACCATGGTATAACCAGTAGGTCCACTCCGTCATTTGTTTCATTTTGCGTCGATCCATTCTGCGCATCCAACATTGTTCTGGGCAGACCAATGAGAGAAAAGTCGTACGTGTGGTAGTGTGGCTTGGATGAGTACGTATACACACACATGATCGGGACCGCAAAGATCAAGGGAGCCGACAGAGAGTAGACCTACTAGTTACACTATGCGCAGTCTATAACTTATTGAAAATATTAACAATTAAATAAGTAATAAAATTCACAAGGCTCTAATGTGAAAACACAAATACGAAGTAATAAAGGAGTAAAAACCAAGACAGGATGTTAGTGTCTAAATAATTTTACTTTTAAGTCTATTGCGAAAAATAGCCCAGGTTGAAATCCTACCTGAGGTGTTATTTTTCGCAATGGACTTACATATTATTTAGACACTGACATCCTGTCTTGGCTCTTACTCCTTTATTACTTCGTGTTTAAATAACTGTTTCAGATATTATCCATACTGTTGGCCCGCAAGGTGAGAAACCCGATAGATTGAAAGAATGTTACGAGAATAGTCTGGCAGTGGCAAAAGAGAATCGTCTGCGTACTATCGCGTTTCCATGCATATCTACTGGAATTTACGGATATCCCCAAAGGCCAGCGGCTAAAGTAGCTTTATCGACGGTTAAGAAATTTCTCCTCGACAATAAAGATGCCGTAAGACTGCATATATACATCTGACAAATTGCTACTTTACGATCAAAGATGCACATCAAGTTTTAACTATACGCTTTCAGGTGGATAGAATCATCTTTTGCCTATTTCTGGAAACTGACAAAGATATCTATGAGGAGCTGTTGCAAAAGTACTTTGCCCTTAATTAAAGATTTATTGATAGGTGAATTTCTACTTGCGCAAAATTCTTCACGGTTTCAGCATAATCACTGTATTTGAAAAACATTGTATTCATATAGAGTAATACAGCGCTAGGTATTTCACGTCGGTTTATTCCCTTCCTTACTTCCTTTTCGAAACCAAAACGAATTGATAACGCGATTTTCACACGTGGAGCTTGATTGTAGAATTTTCTTGATTAAAATCTGAAATAGAGGACAGTTTTCTATTACGTGATAGCAGGTTTTCAACACCCAAATCCAATCACAAATCTTTTTTTCGTAACGATTACACAATCTAACAATGAATTTTCCATCGATTTCGCTCCGAGAGCAATAAATTCACGGTGGAATTAACAGATGATGCCTATTAATCCATTAGTTCCAGTCTACAATAGATGATCTAAGCCTTAAGAAATTGACTAATCGCGGTCAAGTACGAATAGAATACGCGACTGTGATTAGTCAGTCTTAGAGTTTAAATCTCTATTGTAGACTGGGCACTTACACGCCGCCAGCAATCTACGGGCTGTGAACTGCCAGAAACGAAAAAATTCAGGACATGAAAATATGTGAAATGACGAAAGAAAAATTGTTTTAAATAATGACAATAAGTTAAGGCCAAGGTTGACAAGCTTTTTCGGTTGACTGGTTATTAAAATTATTTTACTAAAGAGTATGTAGTTACATTAACTCCAATTTTGCGGACGCGGTTCAGCACACGGTGCTTTCATCAGCGCTTATTACTAACTATACGTTTCGAATATACATTAAATTAATTACATGAATGATTGTTAAAATTGATATAATAATATAAACTCTTAATAAATAATTAAATAATTCTTAGATATAGTGTGCTGAAACGCGTCCGCAAAATTGGAGTTAATGTAACTACATACTCTTTAGTAAAATAATTTGAATAACCAGTCAACCTTGGCCTTAACTTATTGTCATTATTTTGAATAGAACACAAGCGCTATACCTTTATATTTATAGAGAAATAGTTTTCTATACTTAGAAAAACGGCAGTGACGAGTGAATTTGGTAATTACACGGAAAGATGTTGGATTGATTTGGTATTCCCTCTTGCGCCGAGTTTAAAAGTGGCGCGCGCCGAGCTGGACTGAGCTGCGGCGGCGCGCGTGGCGGCGCCTGCGGGGTCGGTGACGGCGCGCCGCCATGTTGAAAAATCCAAGTGCCGTGAATCTGTGCGTGGCGCTAGGTGGGGGACGGACGGTCGGTCGTTAACGCGGTGCATCTCGGACGGGAGATTTGTCAGAAATGGGCGAATATCCCTGAGCGCACCGAGGTGACCGAGGCGAGGACCGGCCCGATCGCGCTCCCGTACGTGTCGCCGTACTCTCGGCGTTGGTGCCGCGCGCGACACGGCAACGCCGTTGTCGTGCTCGTCGTTGCCGTCGTGGTGGAGATAGTCGCTGCCGTCGCCGTGGCCGCCGTTACCGCCGCCTCGAGCACACCCAGGGGAGGCTACAGTCGGTCGCTCCTCGCCGATCTACCGTCGCGAGGGTGTGCTGGTGCGCGCTCTACGATCGCGATCGTACGCCCAGCGAGTACAGTGAGCACAGTGCGCGCGCCGTGAGAGCGAGAGAGATAGAGACCGAGGGGGAGGAAAGGAGGAGCACAGTGTCGATAGTCGAGCGGCGTGTGGTGTTGGCGATCGTGCGCCGGTCGGTATCGCGTATCGCTCCGAGCCGCGGCTGTCCGCCCGCGTGGAGAGGACCTCGTCGTGGCAGCAGCCTACGCCTGCTTGGAGCCGAATCGCCGTCGTGCAACGCGAGGAGGGCACGAGCGAGCGTGCGGTAATGGGCGAACGGTACGTGCATGCGCTCGCGGCGTGAGTCGAGTAGCATCGTCTTCGCGTCCGACTTGGGACGCGCGCGGGACGCCAAGAGGAGGAAGCGCGAGCTCCCGCTGGGTAAAGGGAGGACGAAAAAGAGGGCCCCGCGCCACTTGATTTCGGCGAGTGGCGAGCAAGGCGGTGCGTACGCAAGCACCGACCGAGGTCCCGTAATCCTGAATGGCCGCCGCGGCCGCTTTCTAGGTTACTGACGGACAGGCAGGAGAGCGCGCGTGAGAGAGAGAGAGAGAGGCACGGCCAAGTGAAAGAAACGGCGATCGGAAGAGGTAAAACCGCGAAGAAAGAAAGGAAGTGAGAAACGGACCCTGTGTATGCGCGAGTGCGTGCGTGCGCGCGCGCGTGTGCGTGTGTGCGCGAGTGAGAGCTAAAGACAGTCGTGCGAGAGAGAGAGAGAGACGAGCGTATAAGGACGAAACGAGGGAGGGACAGAGAGAGAGAGAGAGAGAGGAACCGAACGACCGTGAGCCGCGCACATCCGCACCCGCCGAGCTCCACGCGACGACTCCATCGTCTCCGCCGATGTACGCGCGAACGCCGTGTCCTGGACTCCTGTCCCGTGCCCGTCGGCGAGCTCTCGCCGTCGTCCGCGAATCGTCGCGCGCGCCGACGGAGGTCTGAGTCGTCTTCGCACACGCACCTACGGGGGCGGGGGAGGAGCACTCGCCGACATCACCGCCACTATCGTCGATCGCCGCCTTCGTCGCCTTCTTCGTCCTCGTGCACCCTCGTCGCCAACGTCGTCGCCGAGGCTCGACTCGCATGTATGCATCTCGACAGGTATACACTTATTATCGGAATACAAGGGGTGGAAGAGCGAGAGAGAGGCTCGCGTGTGCACGCGAGAGAGTTGCGTGTGCGTAGGTGAGTGCACGATGCCCGGAGTGTCGAAAAAAAAACAGGGCGGCAGGGGGGCAGGAGTAGGCAGTGCTTTCTCTTTCTCCGCTCCTTCCTCCTCCTCTCTCCATTTGATTCCGAGGAGGTTTTCTGCCCCCGCCCTCCCTCGCCCCCCCGTCTCACCGATTCGCTCCCCATCCTCCACGCATTTCAACCGGCGCTTGCTTTCTTAATCCTGCATTTTCGTCGGTCGCCGCTTACTCGAACGAGAGGACGGAAGATCCTCCTCCCTCTTGGGAGCGGCCTTCCCGACCCCGTCACAGCGTGTGCCGATTCGCCCCGGGATCGATCCGCGGTCCGTGTATCCATACTTGTTAATTTCCTCTTTCCGCAATTTGCCCAATGAGCGTGGGAATCAATTTCCGGATTCTGAATTTTAACGGTAAGATCGCGATACACGCCGCTCTGTCGTCGGAACCGAGTGTAAAGCATCGAAATCACGAACGTGAAACCGTTCGCTGCGTCGTCCCCTCGTTAAATCCCCGCGTTTAAAGATCGGTGCTCGGTCGCGTACAGTGTGGACGGCGAGGCGAAATCGATGCCGGTTTTTTTTTTATCGTCCGAAGCGTGAATCATCCAGCGCATTTAATACGAGAGTGGACGCGCGAGATGCCAACGGACCGGTGTGTGTACGTCCAAGGATTTCTCGCTCGGGGAACAAATTGGAGATCTCGCAATGAATTTGTCGTGTCCAACTCGAGCGCGTGAGGTGAGAATCGCGCACGATCGCGAAGGGTGGCTGAGCTTTCGACGTCCAACGAAACTTTTGCTTCCGCCGCATGCGTGTCGATTCGTTTGATCTCTGGGATACCAGCGCGCGATTATCGAGCGTTTCATATCTCGACTATCGCGCTGGCACGTCGCTGTACCGTTCGAGGCGCATGTGTCGAAAGCTCGTCAAATGTTATCGAAAATCCAATACGTTGCACCTAGCGTGAATAACTCCATTTCGAAAAGGAAAAAGAAGCGAATCGTGCCAACTTACACTGGAACTTGGAGAATCCTTCGTTTTTCTTTATATCTTATGAATCGAATCGTTGTTGAACGCTTTATGTTGCCCCGTAATTTATAGAGGAAAGTCCTCCGTTATGAGATAAGTTTCTAATACGAGATAGCGGGTTTTCAACACCCAAATCCAATCACAAATCTTTGTTCGCAACGATTGCACGATCTAACAATGTGAATCGCTCCGAGGACAATAAATTCATGGTGGAATCAACTGATGTTAATTTAACAGAAACCCTATCTCATAATAGAGGACTTTCATCTATCTATTAACTCATAAACTTGTGTATCTTTTAGCGATTTCGATTGCTTTGCACTGATTGCACGCTAAGGCCTGTTTATAGTCAATGTTTGTGCATTTAACTTTGTCTTAAATACACGTTGAAAAGTATTGAGCCAAAAAATGACCCGCATGGACGCTACACGGATCATTTGGCGCACTAGTGCGAGCAATCGAATTTGCTATTTGATATACGCGAGACGTCTGTTATTTTGTGCGAAGATAATACAATTCGAAAGCGGTTTAAACTTAACGTGCTTCATTTGATTGGAAAAGCATTTCTTTGCTTTTGCACTTTAATCCGCCCGTTGATTTTAATTTCAGCCGCGGATTATTAATTGCAATATTAAAATCAATTAGAGCCAAGCGCGATTGGGCAATCGCGCTTAGAAACGTAACGGATAGTCTGTTATAAAACAGATCTCTCCCATGGCGGAGGTATCAAAGCGTCATGGCGTGCGCATCGAAATGTGTCAACGATAAAGAATAAATAGCATCTGCTTTCCATAATTACGTAGAAAGCCGTGGTTCAGGCAATCCGCTCGTGTGCCATTGTTTACGCATTGACGCTCAACGATTTCATATTACCATATAATCGATGCGTGGTAAACGCGGCCGCGCCGGGAACTTGTGATGAAATAAAACTTTTCGCATTCACACGCGGCACACGAAATAACGAAAGTTTAATTGAGCTTACAAATCACTTTCGTGTGCGGCACCAACAAAGGTGTATTCCCAGTTGAAATTACACTCGCCGAAATACGCACCAACAATCTGACTTCGATTTAAGGTGTCCTAATCTTTAAGTATGTCCAACCTCCTCCTCGCAAGATGCAAGTCGCAACATTCAACGCTTGTTCCGCCCGAAACTTCTCGAGACGTATTGGTCATTCACCCTGTACGCGTATGGCTTTGGTGTTTATCGTATCGGGAGCACGTTATTGCAAAAAGTTTCTATTGCGGCAACACGTTGCCATCCCATTGAGTGGCTCGGAAACGTGTTCATGGCCGCCCATTTCCTTGTAGTCTGGCAGCATCGGTCACTCT